TGTGTGTGTGTGTGTGTGTGTGTGTGTGTGTGCATGCAATCCTCACCTTACAAATCAGTTTTGTGAAATTGAGTTAGGTTTAAAGTTTACTTCTTAACGTAATATCAAAATCATTGTTAGAGTGTATTCTAACGAAATTTGTTAGGTCTATTATTTCACTCTCTATCGAACTATTGTTGGAGAACCCATTAATGTATAGTCCAACACACAGGATATATATTTTTTGACATGAAGAGGGTGTGTTGAAAGTCTTGCATATAAGACCAAATTAGATCTAAAATGTGACTTAGGCTAGAAACATTTGATGTGTTTGCCCTTTTAGTGATAGTGTAATGGATTTTTTATAGAGACACAAATATTTATTCAACTCCATAGTTTATGAGTAGTGGGGTAGTGGTACTCTCATTAGGGGTTTATTGTTTCAAATGGGCTCCAAGCCCAATATCTGAACCAAAATATTATTAACATCATGTACTCATCTAAAGGCTGAGATTTACATTATCCTGATCGAACCATAACCCCATACTCAAGCTTGTAAGACAAAAAGCTTAAATTGATTATACTCATCTAAAAGTTAAGATTCATTATCTCGGACGAATCATAGCTTCCAGGCTAAAACTTACAAGGCAAAAAGCCTGGATTTCTTGTACTCATCTAAAGACGGAGATTCACATTATCCCGGACAAAGTAATTCTCTTTATATTTGTTTTTCCTATTTCCAAAAGAAATGGTATTATTGTTTTTTCTCTAGAGATAAATATGTGTAATATTATGTTTTTTTAATAAAATTACATTATTTGTCTATTATTTATTTTGTTCCTTTTTCATCTTTTACTTTGGTTTTGAGTGCTTGTGTTCTTTAAAATTCAATGCTCATGTGAGTATGTTATAAAGTATGTAAAAAATCTTAAAATTTAAGGTGATACAAATGTGATGGATTTATCAAGAGAAGATTTTTTAGAAAGAGATTATATATACATATGACTTTAGACCATCCCACATAAAAAATTGAGACAACTTTTATCTCAAAACCTTAAGTATTGAATATATGTTACTATTTTTGTTATGATTGTGTTATTGTGTTGTTGTTTTTATCCATTACCTCCAAGTATTGAGTTAATGAATCTTTTTTCTTATATAATATTTAACTTTGTTATTTTAACAAATATGAAATTTAGATTCACATTTAGATTATTTCCAATAAAATGATTTGTCATAATTAAAATACTTATGTTTGAAAATAAATAAACACGAGTAAAATAACTAATTTATAGGAGTAAGAGAATTTTTGAACTCAAAATTAAAAAAAATAGCGTCGTATTCTCTAGTATCTTATATGAATTTATTCACTTAAATTTTAAAATATAAGTGTACTTAACTAAATTATATAAATCTTTTATTATTTTCATAGCAGTTAGCATTTGTTGGATATTCTAATTGAAGAATGATATAATCAATGATGTTGATGAATGGAAACTCGTTCACACATGTAATTCATAATTAATTAGTGAAAACAAATATGTTATGTATATATGTGTTCACATTCATAGTTAATTAATTAATTAGTGGAAACAAATATGCTATGTATATATATGTGTGTTCACTTATTATGAAATTAAATATATATAATTTTATTGTAAATAATTTTGTAGGTAGTTTTACAATAAAAGATTAGTTAAGTTTAAAAAAAGTCAAATAAAAAAGGTTAAATTAAAAAAAATTACTTAAAAGTAATATTAATAAAATATTTTAAAAACTTTTATTTAAAAAGCAAAAGTGGATAACAAATATGAAAACCACTTTATGATATAATATATAGTTATAGATATCATTAACTCTTGCAGATATAAAAAGCTCTATTTTTTTTTAGATTATTAAATAGATGATTTCCTTTTTAATACGGTGTTGTCGAAAAATACTCAAAGTGAAAAAAGAAACAAAAATAGAGAGAGTTAGTAAAATAAAAACAAGGAGTCATCTATACGTTAAGAATGAGACTTTAAACAACTCAACTCCACAAAACTGGCTTGTAAGGTGATGCTTTGCTCCAGTTATATATTATAAATTGTCTTTATCTTTAGTCGATACTGTTGGGTACAAACAAAGTTCCACATCAAATAAAATAAAAGATGGACATGGATTTATATACACATAAGATACCTCCATTGGTAAGAGGCCTTTTGGAATGGTATCCAAAAACAAATCCTTGAGGGCTATAATCCTTTGTTTGAAAGGAGGATGTTGGATACAAACAAAGTCTCACATCGAAAAGCGAATCCGTGAGGATCACCCGAGGTTTTCGATAAACAACAACAAAAAATCAAATACATTCAATCACTCTCCCCTCAAATTCATTCAAATGAACAAACCTAAGAAAACTGAGCTACGCGTATAGACACTTCTTCCTACACCTTTGTTTTCTCTACCTGCACCCTCTTAAATTTAAATATTCATTGTATCCGTTTAGTCAATATTTAGCCAAACTCTAATTCAAAATTTCCACACCTCCCACCCTTTACCCTATCCCTCTTTCCATTTTTATGTGTGTATTCCTCAGCATCACACCTCTCCTTGTATCACTAGTTGAGACAAGCTAACATGTTATGACACCATAGAGTGTGTGACGTTGTGGGACTTCGATTTGGTGTTGTCTGAGAATATTTCAAAGATGAAATCAGCAAAAGGATTCACTTTGAATTTGAGAAAGTGAAGAAATCCTTGTTCATGACAAAGCAGGATCCTAAAAATACATTTTGGAATAATCATTATTCTAAATATATAATAAAACAAATTCCAAAATGATTGTTCAAATAAAAGTCATTTTCAGATCGAGAACTTATTCCAAATTTCAAAAGATTATCAAACAAATGTTTCAAAAAATCATTTTAATTTGAAAAATAATTCCAAAACACCTAACTGAATTGTATTCTAGAAGACATTTTCCTGATCTAGAAATGACTTCCAAAAAACCCAATCAGAAAATAATGAAATATAATGAGGTTTGGTGATTTTTTATAATATTTTATTAAGGGTAGTTTTGGGATGACAACTTTTGTGGTGGTGAAGAAAATTATAACAAGGTGCAGAAAGAGAAGGCCTATACTTGTAATCCATAATGGCCCAAACTGGCAGAAAATGAAACGGGCAGATTTGTATAGTCGTTGCGATCATGTACACGATAGTATAATGGATAAAATAGACTATAATAAATAAGTAAATTGATTAATTAATAGACGAGCAAATAGAAGAAAGCACGTAGAGCACCTGGAATCTTCCACGAGGTTTTCGGTAAGAACCAAATTTGGGGCTTTGAGACGCAGGATTTACTTTTCTATCACAATTCTTGTGCCTTTCCCAGCCATTTGTCTTTCCCTCGACCAAATTGTAAGTTCACCTTTTGATTGCTTATTTTATCGTCAATTCATGTTTATAGTTTTCTATGTTCATATTCTGAGACAAGATCTGCGTCTCTTTTCTTTCGAATCCCTTTTTCATGTTTTTTTTTTTTTCGTTTTCTCGTTCGCTAATTTCCACATTCTATCTCTAGATTTGTCCGTCGATTAGTCTATTGATAAATTTTAGATGTTAGTACAATTCGCTGATTTGTATTTTAGTACGGCGTTGTCGGTGACGATGATGTGATATAGCGAAGTGGGTTGGCTGCGCTGTTGAAAGCAGCGAATCCAGATTGGAGTCCAAGTGCCATTAAATCTGCACTCATGACAACAGCTTATACCCACGACAACACAGAGTCTCCGCTTCGTGATGCAACGGGAGAAGAAGCCCTCTCCACAACCTGGGCTAGTTTATGATGTCTCCACACAGGACTACATTGCGTTTTTGTGCTCCCTCAATTACATCATCGACCTTTTCAGACTCGTGGTTAAGTATTCCGACGCCAAATGTTCCACAAAATTTAATAACCTTGGTACTTCTGATTTTCAACAACAGTTAAATTTTCCTTCATGCCTTGAATATGTGCACATGACATACCAAGCCGATGGCTTTCTCGCTTGTCACCGCTTTTCGAGCCTCCCATTATCGTACTCTTACTCAGGTACGACTCTCTGAGAAAGGATTAATCATAACAACAACTGATTCTTGGTTTGTCAAGATAGTTTCTACCCTCTTTCTATGCTCAACTTCTTTTGATGATAAACTTTTGGATTATTTTCGTAAGCATTTAACTCCTTCTCATGTCTTAGAGATTATTAAAAGGCTTAACGATCCCAACTTAGGTTTCAAGTTCTATCAGTTCACTAGGGAAAAGTTGTGCATGTCTCATTCGTTTTGGACTTACAATATGCTTTTGAGGTCCCTTTGTCAAGCAAATCTCCACAGTTCAGCAAAACTGTTATATGATTCCATGAGGTCTGATGGGCAATTGCCTGATTTTAGGCTTTTGGGATTTTTGGTTTCCTCTTTTGCACTGGCTGACAGGTTTGATGTTTCAAAGGAATTACTTGCTGAAGCTCTGTGCAATGGGAATCAAGTAAATGTGATTGTTAATAACTTTTTGGACATATTGATAAAACACGATAAGTTAGATGATGCGATTTGTTTATTTAGAGAGCTTATGAGAACACATTCTTCTCTAGAAACCTTCACCTTCAACATTTTAATGCGCGGTTTATGCATAGCTGGAGAAGTTGACGAAGCTTTTAAGCTTCTCAGAGATATGAAAAGTTTTGGTTGTTTCCCTGATATAGTTACATATAACACTCTATTACACGGCTTATGTAGAATAGATCAAGTTCATAGAGCATGCGGTTTACTGAAAGAAGTTTGTCTAAAATGTGAGTTTGCCCCTAATGTTGTTAGTTATACGACAGTGATATCAGGTTATTGCAGATTGAGTAACATGAAAGAGGCCTCCTCTCTTTTTGATGAAATGATTAGATCCGGAATAAAGCCTAATGTCTTTACCTTTACTTCTCTCATTGATGGCTTTGTTAAGGAAGGTGACATGGTTTCTGCACTAGGTATCCACAAGAAAATGCTTTTACATGACTGTCCTCCCAATGTTGTTACTTTAACATCGTTAATTAATGGCTATTGCCGAATTGGATGGGTTAATCATGGCTTGGACTTGTTACATGAAATGAAAGCACGACATGTTTCTGCAAATTTGTATACTTTCTCGGTTCTTATTAGTGCTCTTTGCAAGAGCAATAGACTGCAAGAAGCACATAATCTTTTGAGATTATTGAAACAGAGTGACATTGTTCCACAGTCGTTTGTCTACAATCCTGTCATTGATGGATATTGCAAATCTGGGAACATTGATGAGGCTAATGCAATTGTGGCAGAGATGGAAGAGAAGTGCAAGCCTGATAAGTTCACATTTACCATTCTTATTATTGGGCATTGTATGAAAGGAAGAACACTTGAAGCAATTGGCATCTTCTACAAGATGCTGGATGCTGGTTGTACTCCAGATGACATCACAATTAGAACATTAAGTTCCTGTCTGTTGAAGGCTGGGATGTCTTGCGAGGCTTCCCACCTTAAGGAAACTATATTTGAGAAGCAGACCGCATTATTGAAAAAATCTTGTCATGAAAGTATAAATTCAGATAAGTCAATTCATGTTCATTATTAAGGTAAATCTTATCATGACAGTACTGAAGTTTTTCACGGTTTTGATTTTGGTAATACATTCGTCAGATAGTGTGGCACTAATACATTCGTCATTGGCACTAATACATTCGGCTGATAGTGTGGCACTAATACATTCGCAGATACTATTTATCGGATATCATCAATTCAATAGAATTTGAATTACCCATCTGTACAAGGTTCTGTCTATCTTTTTGGAACACATAGGTTTGCTTTCCTCTTGTGACATAAAGAGATATTCAAATTTTCTTTGGACACCAAAAATTATATTTCTTCCTTAGAGTGTAAATAGAGAAGTAAAAGTTGCTTTGTAATTCTCGAAATAAGGGGATGAATGAATTGACCTTAAATAGAAATAATTGAAAAACGGTGTTATTCTAATATCTCTGTAATTCTTGAAATAAGGGGTGAATGTATTGAACTTAAATAGAAATTAATGGATATTATTACTTGAGTTTTGTAAGAAAAAATAAAATTAATTGACCAAAATTTACTTAATTTCGTGTGAACTCTAAAGCAATGGTCAATAATGTACATGAATTAAAAATAATAAGTAATTATGAGTATTTTCCTAATCGATTAATTATCTCATAACAGACCAATTTTATCCTAATTTTAACTATTTTTAGTTTTAATGGTACAATTTTAGTTGTTTTATTTCATTTATACAGAATAAAATAAATAAATTGTCTTTTAAAATATATAAAATTGTCATTTAATTTATAAAGATTTATATTTAAATTAAATTCGTAGATTTAAAATATTATCTTATACTAATTTTCTATTTTTTATAATATGCACAAATATGAACTCTCTCTCCATATATATATATATATATATATATATATATATATATATTTAAAACTCTATTTAATTAATACCATGAACAATTGAATAATCACAGTGATATCTAAATTTTATTTTCTATTTTTATTAAAATTTATTTTAATTGATAATTTTTTCGGTGTTATTATAAAATAGATAAATAAATTTTATAAAATTAGGAATAAAATTTAAATTTTGATTTATTAAGCATGGTTAAATATGATTTTGGTTTTTTAGCCTTTACAAACTTTGTTTTATTTCGATTTTTCTCATGATAAAAAGTTACAAATTTAGTTTTTTATGACTAATAACTTTAGTTTTTTCTAACATGATAAACTATGTGTCATCTTTTAAATTCATGTTCCAAAGGTTGTTAAGATAGCTTAGTAGCAAATGAGGTGTCATGTCTTCCGTTTTATAATATCGATAAGATATGTGTAATGTGTTCCTAAATTGAAAAGACATCTCGATAGTTGGGTAAAAACTCCAGATAATCTAGTAAGGTGAATGAAAAACTTAAATAAGTTGGTAAGAAGTTTGGATACTTCGATAAGGTATCTTGAAAACTCATAGAGTTTGCTGGGAAGTCTAAATAACTTAGTAAAGTGTATTGAGAATTTAAATATCTCGATGGACAGTCTAGATAACTTGGATAACACCTTATCGAGCTTTTTAGACTTCCATTTGAGTTATTGAGTTTTTCATACACTTTGTTTGGCTATTTTAATGGCTTACTGAACTATTTGTATATCTTTTGAATTTCTTTTATAATAAAACATATTTTGTTGAATAATTAAATTTGTAGGAAAGTTAATGAATTCATTTTATCTTTATTAATTAGTGAGAAAAATAACTTATTTAATTCATACACACTTTAAAAATGCAATGAAGATTAATAAATTTAAGTAGAATGATTTATCTCATAATTATTAAATGAAATTAAATGTTCACTTAACTAATTGAATAATTATTAAATGAAATTAAATGTTCACATAACTAATTGAATAATTATTAAATGAAATTAAATGTCATTGTAACTAATTCAAGTTGAAAGCATGTACTTATTATATTTTTTAAAAATATTGATGTGTGTTATTTATATTTCTCTTTTTCCTAAAAAGCTTGGTTCCTTTTTCAATCGTCATCCCGCTTCTTTATAGCACCAGCACACCACAAACTCAGGTACAATTGAGCCCTTCATCTCCCTTCGCCCAAGAATAGGGTTTCTCTCTGTTCAAAATGTTAGATTTGTGTGTATTGGACGAGAATGCTAACTAGATGGAAGGGATGAAAATTATATAGCTTTGAATGATTGTTCTGAGTGTGGTTTTGTTGGGAAAAAAAAGATGAAAAATGATGTTGGAGAAAAAAGTTGAGGCATGAATTTGGAGAAGATGATGAAGAGGTAAGAAAGAAGATGAAGGGGAAGGGTTAAGGTGAAGGAAATATATTTAAATTTAAGTTGGAATGCGCAAATTAATTTTCAATAACATAAAATATTGTGTGTATTCGAATTTTTTAAAAAACTATTCAAAATTCAGTTTTACTAAAAAAAATTAATGTAACTTAAGTTGATTTATATTTGATAATATATAGCATGTTCCGTCCGCACGTCATATAACGTAAACTGATTTATATTTGGTAAATTATTAACCTATAAAGTTTGTTTAGATTTATAACTGAATTAAGTATTAGATTGGTGTTTTGTAAATTCCTTAAACTCTTGTTATTATCGTTATTTTACCCATAAAAATACTTTTACTTTATATTAAAAGTGAACACACTCGGTTAATTGACTTATTACTCTAACTGGTCCAGCCAAAAGCAAGAGCACTTCATCTTGTGCATATATTGTTTTCTTCTTACACTTCTAAAATTTTCCTTACTTTCCATTTTGTCCTTTCCAGATGATTGTGAATCAGAATGTTAAATATGGTGTTAAGCCCTGAATTTGGGGAGAGCAAATCAGATTAAGTAATTTGATTTATTTTCCTTAAATCTAAGACTTAATATAAGATTTTATATCGTGATACACATGATTATATAATTCAATGAGAAAATTTCCACTCAGATATGTCCTATTTTTGTCAATTCTTTCCTTCTCTCCCATCATAAATCTTATTATTTTTAATTGATCTAATAAATATATTAAAAAGCATGACTCCATAAGATTTAGATTTTTTAAATCTGTTCTTTAGATGCTAACCTAAACTTATAATTAAGTTATATTCATATATTATAATTAAATTTTAACAATTTAGTATTATTGTTATTATTTATTATTATGTTATTGTTAATTATATCGATATTATACTTTTTAAATAAGTATTATTTCAATAAAAGTATCATTTCAATAAAAGTATCATTTCATCACATCTTATAAATATAATTAGTATTTTTTTCTTTTATAAATATTTACTCTCACATATTCTAAATGATCTTCACTTAATTATGGACTTATATAGTCTTATTTTTATTTGGATTTCCTTCCACGTTAACAAAAAATTTCATTTTCACCTATGTGTATATATAGACACAACTCATCACATAATGCTTCCGTCAATATGGAAAATGTCTCTTTAACAATTTTCTTTGACAACTTTTTAATAGCAACCTACGTGGTAACATGTAATTGTTTCGTTTTAAACATATGGACCAATAAAATAGTGACACATCGTCTGTTATCAAAACATTGTTAAAAAAAAGTTGTTAAAATATTATTATTCCATCAATATTTTGGTAAACCCTAATTTTGAAATTCCCATTTGTTTGGCACTTTCCTCCTTGTACCTTATGCCTCTTCCCGTTTCTCTGTAGTGTGGCTTTCCCCACATCAATAGTTGAGGCAAGCCAACATGTTGTGACATCACAAGACTTCACTGATTTGAGAAGATTTTAAGGATAAAGACAATAAAAGGAGCAACTTAGATTTAAAGAAGTGGAGAAGATTGTCAATCGTGGTAAAGCGAGGATCTAAAACAACATTATCAGAATATAAAAAATTTACAAAAGTAGTTTTTTAATTCATAACTCATTATGAAAATTTTTAAAAAATTATTAAACGAGTATTTAAAAGTTATTTTCAAATTTCAAAATATCTTCCGAAACACCTAATCGGAATTAGATAGAGAAGTCATTTTCCAAGATCTGACTTTCAGACCCAATCGGGAAAGTATGAAATATAATGATGTTTAATGACTTTTATTATAATATTATTAAGAGTAGTTGGGATGATTACAATTTGTATGGTGGTGCACGAAGAAAAAGTGGGATGCAGAAAGAAAAGGCCTTTTCTCGTAATGCATAATGGCCCCAAATGGCAGAAAATGGAACGAGCCAATTTGCATAGTCGTTGTGATCATATATACGATAGAATAATGGATAGAATAGACTGCAATAAATAAATTAATTAATTAATAAACGAGCAAATAGAAGAAAGCACGTTGAGAACCTAGAATCTTCCACGAGGTTTTCGGTAAGAACCAAATTTGGGGTTTGAGACGCAGGATTTACTTTTCTATTACAATTCTTGTGCCTTTCCCAGCCCTTTGTCTTTCCCTCGACCAAATTGTAAGTTCATCTTTTGATTGCTTATTTCATCGTCAATTCATGTTTATAATTTTCTATGTTCATATTCTGAGACCAGATCTGAATCTTTTTTCTTTTTTAGTCCTTTTTCATGTTTTCTTTTTCGTTTTCTCATTCCGTTAAATTCCACGTTCAATCTCTAGATTTGTCCGTCGATTCTTCTATTTATAAATTTTAGATCTTAGTACAATTCGCTGATTTTGTATTGTCGTACGGCCTTGTCGGTGACGATAGTGTGATATAGCGTATGATAATTTTTTGGGTGACATTGTAGGGTTTGGTTGGCATTGTAATTGATTTTATTTGTGAAGATCTGAGTGAGGGATTAGGCAAATGACGAGTGGTTTTGGGGAATCAACGAGAGCGTCTGCTCCGAGCCCGTCATGCTCGGGTAACAGTTCTAACGATGCTGGTGATTTCGAGTGCAACATATGCTTCGATTTGGCGCAAGAGCCCGTGATCACACTCTGTGGTCACCTATTCTGTTGGCCATGCCTTTATAGGTGGCTCCATCATCATTCCCATTCTCAGGAGTGCCCTGTTTGCAAGGCCCTTGTGCAGGAGGAGAAATTGGTGCCTCTTTATGGAAGGGGCAAAACACAGACTGATCCCAGGACCAAATCATATCCTGGAATGGAGATCCCTCACCGTCCTTCGGGGCAGAGGCCGCAAACTGCGCCGCCCCCACCTCCTCCTGAGAATAACCCTTTTGGGAGTTATGGGTTTGGACTCATGGGAGGGTTCATTCCCATGGCAACTGCCAGATTTGGGAACTTCACACTTTCCACCGCCTTTGCTGGGTTTATCCCATCACTGCTCAACATTCATTTCCATGGCTTTCAGGATGCCACTGTCTATGGGACAACTTCTGGTTATCCCTTTGGGTTTAATAGCTTTCACGGAGGGGGCGCGCGGGGGTATCATCAGGCAACTGGGGGCCAAGTGCAGCGGCAGGAAGACANTCATAGAGTTTGCTGGGAAGTCTAAATAACTTAGTAAAGTGTATTGAGAATTTAAATATCTCGATGGACAGTCTAGATAACTTGGATAACACCTTATCGAGCTTTTTAGACTTCCATTTGAGTTATTGAGTTTTTCATACACTTTGTTTGGCTATTTTAATGGCTTACTGAACTATTTGTATATCTTTTGAATTTCTTTTATAATAAAACATATTTTGTTGAATAATTAAATTTGTAGGAAAGTTAATGAATTCATTTTATCTTTATTAATTAGTGAGAAAAATAACTTATTTAATTCATACACACTTTAAAAATGCAATGAAGATTAATAAATTTAAGTAGAATGATTTATCTCATAATTATTAAATGAAATTAAATGTTCACTTAACTAATTGAATAATTATTAAATGAAATTAAATGTTCACATAACTAATTGAATAATTATTAAATGAAATTAAATGTCATTGTAACTAATTCAAGTTGAAAGCATGTACTTATTATATTTTTTAAAAATATTGATGTGTGTTATTTATATTTCTCTTTTTCCTAAAAAGCTTGGTTCCTTTTTCAATCGTCATCCCGCTTCTTTATAGCACCAGCACACCACAAACTCAGGTACAATTGAGCCCTTCATCTCCCTTCGCCCAAGAATAGGGTTTCTCTCTGTTCAAAATGTTAGATTTGTGTGTATTGGACGAGAATGCTAACTAGATGGAAGGGATGAAAATTATATAGCTTTGAATGATTGTTCTGAGTGTGGTTTTGTTGGGAAAAAAAAGATGAAAAATGATGTTGGAGAAAAAAGTTGAGGCATGAATTTGGAGAAGATGATGAAGAGGTAAGAAAGAAGATGAAGGGGAAGGGTTAAGGTGAAGGAAATATATTTAAATTTAAGTTGGAATGCGCAAATTAATTTTCAATAACATAAAATATTGTGTGTATTCGAATTTTTTAAAAAACTATTCAAAATTCAGTTTTACTAAAAAAAATTAATGTAACTTAAGTTGATTTATATTTGATAATATATAGCATGTTCCGTCCGCACGTCATATAACGTAAACTGATTTATATTTGGTAAATTATTAACCTATAAAGTTTGTTTAGATTTATAACTGAATTAAGTATTAGATTGGTGTTTTGTAAATTCCTTAAACTCTTGTTATTATCGTTATTTTACCCATAAAAATACTTTTACTTTATATTAAAAGTGAACACACTCGGTTAATTGACTTATTACTCTAACTGGTCCAGCCAAAAGCAAGAGCACTTCATCTTGTGCATATATTGTTTTCTTCTTACACTTCTAAAATTTTCCTTACTTTCCATTTTGTCCTTTCCAGATGATTGTGAATCAGAATGTTAAATATGGTGTTAAGCCCTGAATTTGGGGAGAGCAAATCAGATTAAGTAATTTGATTTATTTTCNCATAAAATATTGTGTGTATTCGAATTTTTTAAAAAACTATTCAAAATTCAGTTTTACTAAAAAAAATTAATGTAACTTAAGTTGATTTATATTTGATAATATATAGCATGTTCCGTCCGCACGTCATATAACGTAAACTGATTTATATTTGGTAAATTATTAACCTATAAAGTTTGTTTAGATTTATAACTGAATTAAGTATTAGATTGGTGTTTTGTAAATTCCTTAAACTCTTGTTATTATCGTTATTTTACCCATAAAAATACTTTTACTTTATATTAAAAGTGAACACACTCGGTTAATTGACTTATTACTCTAACTGGTCCAGCCAAAAGCAAGAGCACTTCATCTTGTGCATATATTGTTTTCTTCTTACACTTCTAAAATTTTCCTTACTTTCCATTTTGTCCTTTCCAGATGATTGTGAATCAGAATGTTAAATATGGTGTTAAGCCCTGAATTTGGGGAGAGCAAATCAGATTAAGTAATTTGATTTATTTTCCTTAAATCTAAGACTTAATATAAGATTTTATATCGTGATACACATGATTATATAATTCAATGAGAAAATTTCCACTCAGATATGTCCTATTTTTGTCAATTCTTTCCTTCTCTCCCATCATAAATCTTATTATTTTTAATTGATCTAATAAATATATTAAAAAGCATGACTCCATAAGATTTAGATTTTTTAAATCTGTTCTTTAGATGCTAACCTAAACTTATAATTAAGTTATATTCATATATTATAATTAAATTTTAACAATTTAGTATTATTGTTATTATTTATTATTATGTTATTGTTAATTATATCGATATTATACTTTTTAAATAAGTATTATTTCAATAAAAGTATCATTTCAATAAAAGTATCATTTCATCACATCTTATAAATATAATTAGTATTTTTTTCTTTTATAAATATTTACTCTCACATATTCTAAATGATCTTCACTTAATTATGGACTTATATAGTCTTATTTTTATTTGGATTTCCTTCCACGTTAACAAAAAATTTCATTTTCACCTATGTGTATATATAGACACAACTCATCACATAATGCTTCCGTCAATATGGAAAATGTCTCTTTAACAATTTTCTTTGACAACTTTTTAATAGCAACCTACGTGGTAACATGTAATTGTTTCGTTTTAAACATATGGACCAATAAAATAGTGACACATCGTCTGTTATCAAAACATTGTTAAAAAAAAGTTGTTAAAATATTATTATTCCATCAATATTTTGGTAAACCCTAATTTTGAAATTCCCATTTGTTTGGCACTTTCCTCCTTGTACCTTATGCCTCTTCCCGTTTCTCTGTAGTGTGGCTTTCCCCACATCAATAGTTGAGGCAAGCCAACATGTTGTGACATCACAAGACTTCACTGATTTGAGAAGATTTTAAGGATAAAGACAATAAAAGGAGCAACTTAGATTTAAAGAAGTGGAGAAGATTGTCAATCGTGGTAAAGCGAGGATCTAAAACAACATTATCAGAATATAAAAAATTTACAAAAGTAGTTTTTTAATTCATAACTCATTATGAAAATTTTTAAAAAATTATTAAACGAGTATTTAAAAGTTATTTTCAAATTTCAAAATATCTTCCGAAACACCTAATCGGAATTAGATAGAGAAGTCATTTTCCAAGATCTGACTTTCAGACCCAATCGGGAAAGTATGAAATATAATGATGTTTAATGACTTTTATTATAATATTATTAAGAGTAGTTGGGATGATTACAATTTGTATGGTGGTGCACGAAGAAAAAGTGGGATGCAGAAAGAAAAGGCCTTTTCTCGTAATGCATAATGGCCCCAAATGGCAGAAAATGGAACGAGCCAATTTGCATAGTCGTTGTGATCATATATACGATAGAATAATGGATAGAATAGACTGCAATAAATAAATTAATTAATTAATAAACGAGCAAATAGAAGAAAGCACGTTGAGAACCTAGAATCTTCCACGAGGTTTTCGGTAAGAACCAAATTTGGGGTTTGAGANGTGTGGCACTAATACATTCGCAGATACTATTTATCGGATATCATCAATTCAATAGAATTTGAATTACCCATCTGTACAAGGTTCTGTCTATCTTTTTGGAACACATAGGTTTGCTTTCCTCTTGTGACATAAAGAGATATTCAAATTTTCTTTGGACACCAAAAATTATATTTATTCCTTAGAGTGTAAATAGAGAAGTAAAAGTTGCATTGTAATTCTCGAAATAAGGGGATGAATGAATTGACCTTAAATAGAAATAATTAAAAAACGGTGTTATTCTAATATCTCTGTAATTCTTGAAATAAGGGGTGAATGTATTGAACTTAAATAGAAATTAATGGATATTATTACTTGAGTTTTGTAAGAAAAAATAAAATTAATTGACCAAAATTTACTTAATTTCGTGTGAACTCTAAAGCAATGGTCAATAATGTACATGAATTAAAAATAATAAGTAATTATGAGTATTTTCCTAATCGATTAATTATCTCATAACAGACCAATTTTATCCTAATTTTAACTATTTTTAGTTTTAATGGTACAATTTTAGTTGTTTTATTTCATTTATACAGAATAAAATAAATAAATTGTCTTTTAAAATATATAAAATTGTCATTTAATTTATAAAGATTTATATTTAAATTAAATTCGTAGATTTAAAATATTATCTTATACTAATTTTCTATTTTTTATAATATGCACAAATATGAACTCTCTCTCCATATATATATATATATATATATATATATATATATATATATATATATATATATATATATTTAAAACTCTATTTAATTAATACCATGAACAATTGAATAATCACAGTGATATCTAAATTTTATTTTCTATTTTTATTAAAATTTATTTTAATTGATAATTTTTTCGGTGTTATTATAAAATAGATAAATAAATTTTATAAAATTAGGAATAAAATTTAAATTTTGATTTATTAAGCATGGTTAAATATGATTTTGGTTTTTTAGCCTTTACAAACTTTGTTTTATTTCGATTTTTCTCATGATAAAAAGTTACAAATTTAGTTTTTTATGACTAATAACTTTAGTTTTTTCTAACATGATAAACTATGTGTCATCTTTTAAATTCATGTTCCAAAGGTTGTTAAGATAGCTTAGTAGCAAATGAGGTGTCATGTCTTCCGTTTTATAATATCGATAAGATATGTGTAATGTGTTCCTAAATTGAAAAGACATCTCGATAGTTGGGTAAAAACTCCAGATAATCTAGTAAGGTGAATGAAAAACTTAAATAAGTTGGTAAGAAGTTTGGATACTTCGATAAGGTATCTTGAAAACTCATAGAGTTTGCTGGGAAGTCTAAATAACTTAGTAAAGTGTATTGAGAATTTAAATATCTCGATGGACAGTCTAGATAACTTGGATAACACCTTATCGAGCTTTTTAGACTTCCATTTGAGTTATTGAGTTTTTCATACACTTTGTTTGGCTATTTTAATGGCTTACTGAACTATTTGTATATCTTTTGAATTTCTTTTATAATAAAACATATTTTGTTGAATAATTAAATTTGTAGGAAAGTTAATGAATTCATTTTATCTTTATTAATTAG